TCATTAATGCGTTTTATTCATAATCTATTCGCTAAAAACGATTAAGATGTATATTAATTTAAAACGTGATATATTATTACTGCAATTTCGTACATACTTTCATTTATGCTTCAATAATATCCAGAAGATTGCAATCGTAAAAAAGATGAAAATTAAGCCAGTTATGAGCGATTATGTGTATCTGATATGAAATATCAATTTAGATACATATTTGATGTAAGTAAACTAATGTTGGTATCTTCATGGAAAAACCAGAAAATACAATAAGAGAGACGTTAAAATAAGAGACGTTCACAAAATTTTGTATCAGTTTAATCTTCTGCAAGCTGTAAAGTTGAAAGAAAAAATGGTTTTATCACAAATGGTTTTATCAGCTGCGACAACAGCACTGGCAAGAAAGTGAGACAGTGCAAAATCAATCGATCAATCAATCAATTGTGTAAATTTTGAAATGTCACGACAATCGATTTGATTTCGAGACCAATAAAATTTTTGCAATATTATTTACAAAATATCGTATTTTTTTCAAATTTTAAATTACTATGACATCGTTAGTTTTGAGTATTCGAGGATACAATTGCATGAAGATATTTTCGAAATAAATGCTTACTTTTGTTAAGGAAATATTTAACAATTTACTTTCGCTAAAAGAAAATATATAAAAAGATGACTTTTACTGAAAGAAAATATACGAAAAATTGACTTTTGTTAAGAAAGTACGAAAAATTGTCTTTCGTTAAGAAATTACCAGTATAACATATCCTCTTGAGGGGTTACAGCAGTACTATAAATGGCTAAAATCAATGATATCTTCTCAGTTGGATTGCTTAGATACAATGCGATGAATATACTAACACACTTTTATAGTTAATTGCGAATGCATCTACGAACGATGCAAACGAAACAATTGTTGGAATATTCAAGATCGTTGAAATCATCGGTTTGCATAATTTTAAGAGAACAAACTGTCTAATAGCAAAATGCTATATATCAAATGCTAGAAGTTGCTTACAAAATAATTTTCTTTTCAATATGGATGCTCGAATTCCATTCTATACGCTATGTCTTCGTGTATAACTATTGTTCTCAAAAATGTTATTTTGAGACGAACAATTTCTAGAGTCTACATTTCTGTAGTCTACAATTTACTTCTTTCGGTCCTACAGTTGCCGTAATTACGCAAACATTTACAATAAATTTTGTTCAAGTATTAACAAAAAATTAAACTTATGAAATCGAATAACAGAATGCTCTAGTACGATAAATATACAATACGTCTTTATTTGTCCACTTCACTATAATGATCTTATTGTTAGTTGGTCCACAGAAATTTAAACTGGCACTGTTATTTTCGATGTATCTTTCTCCTGTGCCGCCTTTTTTGATTTTTGTTTGACGAAACACATCTCGACGCACCATGAGATCGTAGTATAAAATGTTGGGATGTTTAAACAGTGAAGTGTGATCGTGTAGTCGGATGTGATGTCTCTGATGTAACCAGTGATTGGGCCTAATATTAACGCAACTATGCCACTGGTCACCAATTGTATACCAGTTGCACCTGGAAGTCTTGATAAGGGAACGTGACTCGGTATCACGAGGGCCATGAAAATTGTTCGCAAACCTTTCCCAATACCCAATAAAACAGCAATCGCCAGCGAAACTTGGAAATCTTGCACGTGCGCTAATACTGAAAAAAGAAATGAATTGAATGTTACTTGAACCGCCTTGTTAGTTTTCCAGTACGAATTAAGACCAATTCATCTAATTAAATTCTCGATCGATCGTCACTCTTAATTGATTTCGTGACAAACGACACAGTTTCTTTTTTCAAATTGTAATACCTTAATATTATATACTATTTTATATTGTTATTACATATATATAATAACATAATAAATAAACATAACATAATTACATATATATAATATATAATATATAATTAATATATATAATAAATATAACATAATAACATAATAAAAATAACATAATAATATATATATATATCTCAGTTCTATATCAGTACAATTCCTGTGAAGAAACGAGTGATGAAAGATCTGTTTTATTACGCGATAGTTAATCGATCTATATCTGATATTGTATCACTGATACTATTATAGCAAAATACACGAGATTATATAATTCTCAACAATAATGTGAAATCGTAATTAAAAATATAGTTTTCTCATTCTTGATTTTCGTTTTATGGTGTCCTCTACAATCGTCTCCTATTTCTATCGTCGAAAACTGTGCACACATTGTGAAAAATAAAAATGTACTGTTCATTTATATTTGTCGTATCTCATTATTTGAAGAAGTCTTCAATTTTCGAATTACGATTTTCTATACAGGGAAAAGAGGACACGTTGCCAATAATAACTTGCTGAGAGACAGTCGTTGTCTGACCAGTGGTACAGATGGCTGCCAGACGTTTAATTATAGCACATTTAATATCTATTGATATATTCGAACGTGTCTTACCGATGCGACCAACGGCCATTTGGCATACACCCACGAGGAAGAAAGTTCTGTTGCTCCATCCGATGAGATTGGCTATGAACGGGATCGTTAATCGGGTGAGCACGTCGACGCCAGCGAGGATCGACATAAACGTTGCAACCTGGATTTTCGAGTATCCGTACTCGGCCAAAATGAACGGCGTCAACAGTGAGAAATTCAACTCCGTGAAAGTGGCGAGCGTGAGGCCCATCATCAAATTCACGTAAATGGAATCACGGAGAAGATCCAAGTCGAAGAATATGATCAGTTTCTGCCAGAAAGATTTCTGTTCCTCTTCGACGTGCTCCTAAAAACCCGAAATACATTGCGTAACGTAATTGAACGTATAGAGATTGTATTTCTTCGACCAGACAAGCAAACATATTATTTAACTATGCTGTGGCATAGGTTGGTACGATAAGAATTAACAACTGAAAATCTCTGCTGTTGTTAAAAAATATGAGAACAACTTTATTAACAGGAGTATTTCAGTATAAAGAGGTCTTTATCGTCACGTTTTTAAATAGAATCATATTTTTTTTATATGTGTATTAATTGATGCGGCTCTCGCCGTTTTCTTTTTTATAAAGATATATTGACTATATATCTTTCTCTCCACCTTATCTGTATACTTAAATACCTCTGTTAACGCATTAATGACTGGTCGCCAGTTAATTCGTGTTCTTATGCCCAGACGTTGTAAAATTGCCGGTGAACAATGCGTTAACAAAGTTTCTTCGTATCTTCAAAAATAACAGATACATTCAAGTGCCAACTTTTACTGAACCACCCTGCATATTTGGGAGTTTCTTATATTGATATGTGCGCTGAATACAAATCTGTCAATTTTATTATCTTCCCCGTGAACTTACCGAAGAAATCAATTTTAACGAAGACTGCAAGCTTTCAATTGCGACAATCTTTCGTGTTTTCTTGTATAAAATTATTTTATAAGATTCTTTTCAATGGAACAATTTATCCAATATTACATTATATATTGTTAGGAAATAGTTTAGATATTAATATATGTATATAAATAAATGTAAATAGATATAAATAGATATATATTATTATATTATATATATATATATATAAATAGATGTAAATAGATATTAATATATATATAGTTATTATTATTATTATATATATATATATACATCTATTTATATATATATAATATAATATATAATATTATATATTATATAATAATATTATATATATTATACC